TGATACACTTCTTTATGACGTTGCAGGTTTGAAATACTGTAGACGGAGTTGCATGATTTATGGATGGGTCGGTCAGTGGGTAAGGTGTGTTTGTGTTGATGTTTGTTCGTTTGCGTGTGTGTTTGTGTATGTTTGTGTGTGTGCGTTGCGGAGCGTGTGTATCTATTCCTATTCATAAAATAATTTCTGTGCGCGATATCTCACATTCGCCAGATATCATATAACGAACGGGTATCAAACAAACCAATCAGGTTGATCTAACAAGACGAAAAACAGGCAATTCAAACACCAACTCAATATCATCAATTAAGAAAAAAAAATCTGATGCTAAAAGAGATATACATCATCGTACCCTTTAGAATAGCCTTAGGAAGCAATACCTCTCTTGGAAAACCCCGAATACTGCTGCGGTCCATACGAAGTTCTAAGACGAGAGAAAAAAAAAATATGACTGCAATGACCTTGAGTGCTGTTCTCCGTAGTATATAAGCTGAGGTTCAAGGCTCTGTTAGTTCATTGCTTCCCCTGCCTGTGTTTGAGACTCATACTTGCGAATAAATCCTGATCATGAAGTGGGTAAGTTACCTAGGGTAATGCTAATAATTACCGGTCATTGTAGACTTTTATCAGTATAGTTTCATCTATATTAGAAACTACATTTTCAGTATACAGTCATCGTCATTATCAGGTATATTGTAAGTGCATTGTCATCTACAGTATCAACTACATTGTGAGTCATTTTTCTTCTGCATTAGAAGCAGTTTTGTCTACTATAATGTTATAAATTGTCAGCAACATAGGTACATTATTAAATCGTACTATCAACTAAATAGCAACTACTATATCACATGTAAAGACAGCTATTTTGTCAGCTACATTACGTGGTACGTTGATAGATATATCCTCAGCGATAATGTAAGTTATATCAATAACAGTGAGTCACACCATCAGCTACGTTGCCAACTATGTTATTATCACATTCTGCACATGCTTTTATCTAATGGTAAATATTCATATCGTGTTGCACATTCACCCGCGAATACTAATTTTCACTATGACGTCAGCAGATGATTTTCGTTTGTATTTCGTTTTCTCAGTTCTAAGATTGTTTTATTTGTATATGTATAAGTAATTCTTTTGTACATATACATTCTGAAATTGCTTATTGGTAGATATTATTTTTACCTCGACATCCTCGTTTCTTGGATACTGATATTGTTTATCAAGGAAGTGATCAAGTTTATATATTAACATCGAATCGTATTTTATAATCATCGTCTGTGATATGTTTCTTTTTTATTTTTGCATGTTTTTTTTTTTTTTTTTTTTTTTTTTTTTTTTTTTTTTACTTAATTCATCTGAATGCGTAATGTGATTATGAATAAATAAAATACGGGAATCATCACACAATACACATCCGTATTTCTATTTCTCATGTATCCAAATACAGGTGATGTTTTGTTCAAGCAAATTCATACACTAACAGATTTATTAAACTGACATACCATGAAAAGATGAAGGAATAGCTTTCTAAATAACTAAAAGAAAAGAAAAAGGACGAAAAGATGTCAAACAAAGTTTCAGTGTTCCTAAATCTCAACTTAATTTCTAATGAATGTGTCATAACTGTCATCTGTGAATATTTAACAAATTGTCTCACGCATTGTCATGACCACGGGTTTTAAGTTTCATGAATGTAGGTGTGGAGATGTGACTTATCGAAATACCTCATGACTCCAAAGTTATTTTTTTAACGAACTTAAAAACGTATGATCTTTAACTGAACAAAGTATTTCATGACATTATATTCAATTTATCTGAATAAATCATGACTGCACGACCTCTAATCTAACAAAATACCTTATAACTGATGTTTTTTTTAATGTATATGTACTGACTACAAGTTTGTTTGTTTTCTGAGCAAAATATTTCATAATTACATGATCTTTAACTGAACAAAATATCTCACGACTGCAGTTTTTGATTCTTGATATACTATAATATCTCTTGATTGGATGACATTTGATTCAATAAGAAATACTTTTAATTGAACGAAATGTCTTATGACTATAGCCTTGCGTCTTTAGTCTAACAAAACGTCTCATGACTGCATGACCCTTACTCACCGAAGCATCTCATGGTTACATGACACTTAACTCGCCGAAACATCTCATGACTACATGACACTTAACTCGCTGAAACATATGACTGCATGACCCTTTAACTCGTCGAAACATCTCATGACTACATGACACTTACCTCGCCGAACACATCTCATGACTGCATGACACTTAACTCGCCGAAACATCTCATGACTGCATGACCCTTACTCACCGAAGCATCTTCATGTTACATGACACTAACTCGCCGAAACATCTCATGATTACATGACACTTAACTCGCTGAAACATATGACTGCATGACCCTTTAACTCGTCGAAACATCTCATGACTACATGACACTTACCTCGCCGAAACATCTCATGACTGCATGACACTTA